TGCAGTGATTGACTGATTGTTAGCACAAAACACACCAATCCTTACGACAAACACTCACTTCAAACACAAATAGCGCTCAAAAACATTATAACATTTGATTACAGTCTCTATCACTACAGCCACAGCTTAGGAATGCCCACTAAATTGTGATCAATGGTCACTACAATACAGATACTATCATCTATTGATATGACCAATACTATCACAAACAACACATCTCATCCATTCATATATATTATAATCACTAATCATTAATCGCTAATCCATTTAATCACACATTCTGTACACTATTGGCACAAATTCATAGTATTTGGCGCTTCAATCAAATATTACTAAATTTACATAAATTAATTGATTAAGACATTAGGACCTAACTATATATTGGTCTATATATTAGTGATTATACTGTTTAATATCAAATCTGGCATTAATTAACACATTGTCTAAGTTTGCCGATTGTTTAAGTTTAGAAAAGCATTTCAAAATTACTACAAATCAAACAATTTCTAAATTTATGATATAATTGTAGGTAAAGTGCAAAAGAAATGGACACAAGTGGTGATCACTTCTCAACACTTATATCATTGAATATGTTTTGCATAAATGAAATGTAAATTAATTGAAAGCAATTGTTATATAATGATTACAATTGCAATGCCTTTCGGGAAGCAGTGATACAAACCATTGAAACCATTTGTTGGTATTGTTTGAGCCATTCTTCACTCTCACACCGACTATTCATGACATCAATAGTATTGTCCGTACAATAGATGGCTACAAATCACTGGAAGACACGCCACGAGTGACAACAAGACAGACAAACAGATCTATAAAGTTGTCATAAACTCAAAGCAATAGTCATGTAATGCGAGCACGAGTTAAAAGTGCTTTCAAATCATGCAATTATTACAGTTTGGTGTCAATACTTTTTGGCACATAAATCGCCGTTTCTTTCGATAATTAATAAATAAATAAAGTATTGTTTTCTAAAAATATCTAAAAATGAATGTTTATTTAATTCAATAAAAGGTCTTTTAAATAAAATTCAACAAATATATTGATCTAAAATATAAGTATTAATAGATTTTATTAAATATATTACAAAAACACGTATTTTATCACAAAAAACGAGTCAAATTCCCGATGACTAGTGTTTGCCATATTTGTTACCATTTGATTGTATGCCTGTATTCTTCACTAACGCTTAATCTAATGGATAATATTAATAATGGGATTAATTTTTAAGCAAATATTATGACAAAAGCGTTACCAAACATACCGTTTTAGTGTTTCATAACCTGAAAAAACAATTTAAACATAATTAGTTGTTTCCAAAGCAAAACACAAAATATTTCTAACAAAATACCTGCGACTATAAAAGCAGACGATATACAGCTTTGAGTAATTCTGGCCGACAATCCCTTCTTAAATATATTGAAGTGCTCTTCAGCCCAGAGCTGTTTCATCGCTAATATATATGAACCGACGATTCTTCGCACCTGAATGTTGGCTCTCAACACATCCAATGGATTGGTTATGACTGTAAATATTGTATCCATTTTAATCACATATGCGGTCACCAATAATTGTAAACAATCCGTGCAAATAAACATCATTATAAAACTGTACTAATACTGCATCTATAAATTAGCTCTCAATAATGATCACCAAATAGATGTTCAAAATTAGCTAAATTAAAGCATTCTGAATGGCAATACTCTATAACTAATATGAATATATGGTAAATACCTGCGACAGTCATCCCAGAGATAGATCCGGACGTGCATTGAATTAACATAAGCGGTGTATTCTCAGGAAATAAAGGCATTATGTTTTCTGTGTTTATAAACGTTACAATTAATTAAACAGTATTTTAACATTTCTTGTATATCGCGTGACTGACCAGAAAACATGGGGTAAAACATCCACCAAAGGGCACTACTGGGCACATATGTGGCTACCGATGAGAAATATCCCCTATAATAGGCCTGCAAAATATGGTAACAATCAGC